CACCCTCTCAGCCAATCGACGTCCAGGCAGTCCCAAAGACCAAGTCTGTCGACGTGGCCTGGAACGCCCCTGAACCCACCAACGCCTGCGTGAGTTCGGGAAGCAGCCAGGCCCCCCCGCCGCACGCCCTCGCCACACCCCTGACCTTCTGACCGCATCGAGCGCCCCTGGCCCCTCTGACGCTGGCTGCTCCTCTGAACAACGCTGCGCCCCCCGCGCTGTCGTCCTCGCCCGTACCCCAACCCCGGTGGCTCCTCGCACACCCAACTCCTTTCACTTACAAATCTCTGGCCCTTTCCACCCCTACGTGTTGTCATCGCATCCTGCCTCTCCAGATCGACTCGTACTCGTACATAGTCTACAAGAAGAACCAGAACCGCGGCGCACGCTCCCTGCCGAGCCAGATCCGCGAGTACTCCCTCACCATCAAAAACCTGGAGCCCGGTGAGGCCCCGGCCCCCAGTCGCGCCCTTTGCACACACGCAAGCGCACGCAGGTGCACGCGCTCGTGCGCATGCGCGCGAGCGCGCGCGCGCACACACACACACACACACACACACACACACACACGGACGCACGCATGCACGCACAACACACACACACACACACACACACACACACGCGCGCATGCACACACACACACACACACGCGCGCGCACACACTCACTGCAGACACCGAGTACACCGTTGAGCTCACTTCGGTCAACCAGCTCAAGGTTAGTCATCCAGGATGACGGCCACGTGATGTCACAGGGCCAGCTCAATGCTGGCAACCTAGCCGTGCTAGCCTAGTGGCTCTAGAGAGCCTGCCTCAGAATCCTGGCACCGCCAGCTAGCACCTGCCTCCCCTCCAATGGTTCCGCTAAAAGCCCCACGCGTCGCCCTCTGACGCCCGGCGGACGCGCACCGTTGTCGCCGCGCTGCGCACCCCTCCTGCCTTGTCCTTGCGCCCTGCGACCTAGCCTGACGATGCGTGTGTTGCGTGCCTGCGCAGGGCGCAAGCAAGCCTGCGACTGTGACCTTCAGGACCCTCAAGGCGTGCAACCTCCAGGTCAAGCCAGGTAGGCACACAAAAAGCGTGGATTTTTGGTTTGGCGGACGTTGCCAGAGCCTACAACATTCACCAAAACTGGGCAAGGTTTCATTCAATATCACAAGGTATTTTATTCAGTACCAATTGTCAGGGTTTGTTCGATTCTCATGTGTCATTGCGCGCGCACGCACACACACACGCACACACACACACTTCACCCCCACACATGCTCACAACAACACTCTGCAACATCATGCTCCCGTCCGTCACCTTTCCACCCACCCACACACCCCCAGGGGCCGTCAACCCCGTCTTCCTCAACCAGAACTCAGCCAAGACCCTCCTGCTGTCCTGGCTGCCCCCCAAGAATGGCGCCTGCACCGACAGCTACCAGGTAACAACATGCACCGCCCCGCGACGCATTTGTTGCATCCAAATCAGCCGCTGCCGCCGCCGCATCGCGCTGGGGTTGAGCCGCCATCGAAACAATAACACGGCCCTCCCATGCGGAAGGGCAAGCGACTGGTTCTGTGTGGCGCTGCGGGCCGCCACCCCGGTTGCGCGCGCATCGAGCGCTCGAGCTGCGGCAGCGGAGGGCGGATTTCGAGCGTCCGAACATGTGCAAACCACAGGTGGACGGTTACGAGGTCAAGTCCACCAAGCGCGTGCTCAACAGCAACAGCATCGACCCCAAGGCCAAGGTGACCTCCCTGGCGCCTGGCAAAGAGTACAAGTTCCTCATCACCCCCCAGTGAGTGCGGGACGGACGCGGAGGGCCATTCGGAACGGGGACGCTCGCAGGTTTCATTTCTCAACCAGCGCCCCGCCGGCGGCGTCGCGGGCGCAGGCGCGAGCGCGCGCTGAAAAGGGACGCCGCTCGCCCGCCCCAGTGGATGTCTTTCGAGGCAGGGCCCGTGACGGTTGGACTCGCTGCGCTGCAGGCGGCGCAAGGGGTCCTTCGAGTCTTGGCTCTCACCACCGGCCCAATTATATTCCGATCTCGACTCTTGGATGCCCGCTGCCCTGCTGTCCCCAGGAACAAGCGCGGCGGCGGCCCCACCACCCGCGTGACCTACAAGATGAAGCAGAAGTTTGAGGTCGTGGCGTCGGGGTCCGTCCCCGCCAAGGGCCGCCGCATGTTCGCCGCGTAAGGCCCGCCCCCCCTTGGGTCGCAAGGTCAGGCGTCACATGGCGCCGCCCTGCTCCGCGGGGCGAGTCGGGGGGTTGCGAGGAGGTCCGATTTTCAACGCACGAGCAAACTGGGACAAAGCAAGATTAAGCAAGACCACCGGTGGGAGGCGGCAGCCTTGGGCGGGACCGAGCACTGCTGTGATCTCCGCACAAAGATTAGTCAGGCGAAGGCGCACACCCGCCGTCGCGACGCTCCAGGCTTGGGAGCGCTGCTGCTTCCTGCATCTGTGATGGTTGTTGTACAGATTGCCACCTGTGTGGCTCTTGATGCGTGATGTAGACACGCTGCAGATGCGTGCAGGATTCCTGTCCAAGACTTGTCTAGTGACGCACAGCAAAACGAGTGTGCCGGGCTCCTCCCTTGGGTGTTTTGTGCCCCACAGCATTGTCCTCACCATCCATCTGTAAAACTTGTTGTGGTCCGCGAGCCCGTGTGCCAGCTGGGATATCCCATGCAGTGGCGGGCCCCACGGGGCAGCACAGCACTGCAACGGTGTGTGGGTGAACTCCGTTGATGTATGGCTACGGTGGTGTAGAGTATAGAGGCTCACACGCATCATATTATGGTTGTAGCACGGTTCCCGCGGTCCCCACCCGCAAGATTGTTAGGGCTGGGCACCCGGGTCGATGACGGCAGAAACCGCAAAACGATCTGCCCGTGCCACGGGACCGTGTGATAATGCACTGATACCTGTGATTCAGACTTTATCGATATTACAAAACTTGTCCTGCACAGTCAATCGCTTGACCGCCGAGCGGGGTTGCATCCAGTCTGGACAGCGGTCAGCATGAAAGAACAGATTTAGTTCCAGCAGCGCAACGCGCCTGCTAAAGCTGGGGCCAGTCGAACGTGGCAGCAAGAAGCGGGACAGCTCGAGCTGTAGCCCGTGCTCCTCTGCGCCATGGCGTTCGAGTGCGGCATATGCACATCGAATTTCAACTCCGGAGAGCGGCAGCCGCTTATCCTGCAGTGCGGCCACACCTTCTGCCGCGAGTGCCTGCGCTGTCGACTGGGCCCGCAGCGATGGTGCCCCTACTGCCGCCACCCAATTCGAAAGGAGGTGGACGAACTACCCAGGTGCGTAGATTGCATGGAACGTGACAGGACCATTACACGAAACGCCAAGCGAACATGCACGCAACAGGGACGCCGCGTTGACCCGCCCGGTCAACGCAGCAGCACCCACAGCATGCCAGCGGAGCGAGCGCGCCGTCGCCGCGCACAGACCTCCGCCGCAACTCCTCCGACGGCGTTGCAGGAATTACGCCCTTGAGAATGCCATGGAGGCGTCAAACCTGCCGCTAGTGGAGCTTCTGGAAAGGTTTTGGGGGCGGCTGCATAAACCAGCTCAATGTTGCGATGCGACATGCACAGAAACGGGAGCGACGGCCGCGCCCACGTGCAGGTCGCTGCGTCCGCGCGTCGCGCGCCGCACCAGCCCCTGTTTATGTTCGAGGGCTGCCCACGCGCCAGCTGCTGCAGCGGAGGGCGCCAGACGTGCCCGCTCGCACTCGCACGCGTGTGCGCGCGCGTGCCTGCAGGTGGGGCATCGCCAACGCGGAGCGAATGATGGTGCGCGCCGACCAGCTGCAGCTGTGCGCTCTGCTGTCGCGCAAGGGCAACAGCGGGGAGGTGTGGCGCGGCACACTCTGGGGCAAGCAGGTGCGCGCCGCGAGGCCGCCGCCGCCGCCGCCGTGAGACCTTCTTCAATTGCGGCTGAACCGCGTGCGCAGCAGCCGATTTTCGTGCGGGGATTCCGACACATGCAGCGAAAAGGCGGCTTGCGTTTGAGTGACCTGCAGCAGGCAGCGCGCGGCGTTGGGACGGCAGCAGCGGAGAGGCTCGCAAACAGGCAACAGGGAGGGGGCCGACTTGGCCCGCCGGACGCGCTAGTGGGGAGCACCACTGCCGGGCGCGCTCGGGCCGCTGCAGGCGCGCAGAGACGCAGCCGAGGTCTCAGCTGCGGTCAGCGGGCGCACCCCTGGCGAACCCCTTCTCTCTCTCCTTATCTGCAGCTAGTGACGTCATCATTGTCTGCATAATTCAAAATTCGAATCACCAGGTGGCGGTGAAGCTGGTGCGCATCGAGGACGTAGACGAGCGGCTGCTGGACTGCCTGAGGCGCGAGGTGGCGGTGCTGCTGCACACGACAGGGGAGTGCAAACAGGTGCGGCTCGGGGGACACGCGCGCGGCCGCCGAAACCGCAGCGGCCGCGGCCGCGGCAGGCGGGGGCGCCTGTTGCGGCAAGGTGGGGCGCGCCCGCGTGGCAGGCACGGCTGGTTGCGCGACCAAGAAGCTGGCTCGGCCGCCTGCGTTGGCGGAAGCCGGGCGACAACGTGGCAGCCGCGGGGTCGCTGATTTTTTGTTTCTAGAACAACCCGACGAGCAGCAGCCAAAATCAATTCCACCCACCAGGTGTGCATCTACAAGGGTTTCTGCGTCAAGGGCAGCTACTTCTGCATCATCATGAAGCTCTACGGCGGCTCCCTGTCGCAGCGCGTCGCGCGCGCGCCAGGTTTGACCGGGGGTTGACCGACCCACGGGCCCGCCTCACGGCGCCCCTCGCCCCGTGCTGCACGACTTACTGCTGCATATGCCTCTTCCAACCGTAGCCGCGGCTCTCGGCGCTGAACTTCTCGTTCCAAGCGTCCGTAAGCCTCCCGCGCCGCCGTCGTGCGCATACGCAGGCAAGCGGCTGCCGCTTTCTCTGGCGGTCAAGTGGGGCGCGGACGTTGCAAAGGGTCTGGTTGAGCTGCACCGCCTGGGGGTGGTGTGCGCTGACCTGAAGCCTGACAATGTTTTGATTGATGACGAGATAGGGGACGCCGTGATCGCCGACTTTGGGATCAGCAGCGTGGTCGCCGGCACGCTCGGCGGCGGGACGGGCGGCGGCGGCGGCGCAGCGGGCGCGCGGCGGGCGTGCGGGGCGCGGAGCAGCGGCAACATCCGGGGGACACCTAACTACATGTGAGCGGCTGCGGCTTTGCTGGGTGTGCTTGTGTGCATGGGCGGCGGTCGCCATGGTCCTGATATAACGTCAGGATGACGTCATTGAGTACCACCTGCAGCGTGAATGCACATACCTTGCACACTACCATACCCTGCGGCCTCGCTGAGGCACGCTCTCCAACGCGACCCCGCAGGGCGCCCGAGCAGTTTGGCCCGCGCCACCTACACACCATAAAGGTTGATATCTGGGGCTTCGGCTGCACCTTCCTGCACATGATTACAGGCAGCCCCCCCTGGGCGGGCGACAGCGTGCTGCAGATTTGCACGTCTGTCGGTGTCGGCAAGCAGGCGCCGCAGCTGCCGCAGGGGCTGCCTGCCGAGCTGGTGCGGCTGCTGGGAAGCTGCATGGAGGCGGACCCGAGCCGGCGGCCGGCGGCGACACAGCTGCTGAAGGTGCGGGTTGTGGGTATACCTCTCCCCGTGGTCCGCCGTAACCAGGGGTGCCTTGATGCGGTGGCAGACGGAGAGGCAAAAGCAGACGCGCTGCCGGCGGCCGCGATGCGAGCTAACGTATCCAGCAGCCGAGCGGACGCTCGCCCGCAGCCTCGCCGCTCAGCTGCTTGCCGCGCCTCAAAGCGTCGGCGTTTCATGGGCGGGGCGCTGCCGGTTGCTCTGGCGACGCGCCGCGGTGCCTGGACCCCAATGTGCCGCCGCGGCTGCCGGTTTCCGCCCGTCTCAATTACTGGGAGGTCGCAGGTGCTGCAGCTGGTGGGGCCTCGCGTCGAGCCGGTCGCCGCGGGGCTGCGGCACGCGGCGGCGCAGCGCACGCAGCTGCTCAAGGCGGCGCGCAGGTGCGGCCGGGGCGGGTGCCTGGAAGCTGCCGTTTGCATGCGCCTGGCAGCTTGCCTCAAGAGAGCTGCAAGGGGCTAGCCATTGCTACCAGCTCGCACGGGCTGGCCTAAGCCTATCCCTTTTCACTTGCACACGCCCACACTCACACGTACACGAACACGCACACGCACACAGACATACACACACATACATACACATACACACACATGAAACATACTCAACAGCCCTGGCCCGACAAGCACGCAGCACTCACGCCGACGCACCCGTTACGCACACGTCCATCCGCCATCACCCCACCTGCATGCGCGCGCGTGCGTGTCTCCGCAGCGTGCTTCAGGGGCTGCAGGGGGACGTGGTGCAGCTGGTGCGGGAGATGGACACGGGAGTCATCGAGGGCGAGGACGGCGCCGGCGCGGGGGAGCCGGACGGCAAGGTGGGGCTGCCATTTCCCTTGGGATGAGGAGGCATCATCCTGGAATGAGGGGGCTGGGAGGTTTTGTACCTGAGGGTTGAAGCATGAGATGCGGATATCAGGGGGTTGTGACTATCTGAAACCGAAGATCTGGGCAGCAGTGAGGCAGCAGTGGGTGGTTTCAAAAGTTTGTCTGGTCCTTCAAGGCACTCTCTCACCAGGGCTTTGACTCTGCTGGCGCGACTTCTTCCATGTTGGCGAACGACCATGACTCATTGTGACTCATCGCAGGGGGACCTGGACCAGTACCTCCAGCAGCTCGGGATGCCAATGCTGCAGGAAGCTTCTCGACCGTCCGCGGCAGCTTCCCCCTCCGCGCCGCCCCTGGGCTGCCTAGAAGACATCCAGCAGCAGCAGGCGGCGCTGCAGCAGCTGCAGACGCCAGAGCCGGGCGCCGCGGCCTCCGCGGCAGGCGTCGGCGCCGGCGGGTTGCCGGCGCCGTGGCTGGCGCCGTGCCCGCGGCAGCTGCTGCCGCCCGGGTGGGCGAGCGCGGAGCCTGCCGAGCGCCTGAGCGGCGGCGGTGGCAGCGGCGGCGGGCGCCACGGTCGGACCATGAGCGCCCAGCTACTGCAGCGGCCGGGCGCGGGCGCGCTTGGCGGCGCCGGTGCGGGCGCGGGTGCGCCTGGCGCGCTGGCTGCGCCCCTGGGCGGCCACCACCACCGGAGCTACAGCGAGGCGGCGCCCGGCGGCGCGGCGGGCGCCGCGGGCCCGTTTGGCGGCGCGCACTACAAGCAGCAGCAGCGGCGGCAGCAGGACGACGAGGCAGAGGAGGAGCGGCGGGGCCGCGGGACCGGGGCCGGCGCGGCGGTGCCTTGGGGCAGCGGGAAGGTGCCCGTCGGCGCGCCCTGCGCGGCCGGCGTCGCCGCCGCTGTGGGCGGCGCAGCGCTTGGGGGCGGCCTCGAGCGAATTCACGAGGGCAGGGAGCTGTTTGGATCGGCCAGCCCGCCGGCCGGCAGCTGTGGTGCAAGCAGCAGCGGCGGCGACGGGGGCGGCGCAGCCGCCGGCGCTGCTGAGTCTGGACACCCGAACCTCGGGCCGACGGCGGCTGCTGACGTGGCCGGCTCGTGGGCAGCGGGAGGCGGCGCGGCCCCTGCGGGGTGCGGTGCCGGCGGCGCGGCAGGTGCAGCCGCGGCGGCGGCGGCGGCCGGCGCGGGCGCGGGCGCGGCGGTTTGTGCGGGCGGCTTGGCGGCGGGCGTCAAGCGGCGGTCGACGCCCACGGGTGCGGCTATTCTGGCGATGATAGCGCCCAACGGCATCTTGCAGCAGTCTTCGCGCCGGAAGGCCGAGGAGCAGCAGCAGCAGCAGCAGCAGCAGCAGCAGCAGCAGCAGCAGCAGCAGCAGCAACAACAGCAGCAGCACCAACCGCCGCAGCAGCCGCGGCGGCAGCAGCAGCAGTCGCGGCCGCCGCCGCCGCCGCCCGCTGCGCTGCGG